AGGATATACGGTAAAATCGTAGCAGGGGAAGGATATACGGTAAAATCCCCCTTCCCTCCGCACCCCGCTAACCTGCTTTCCAGCTCCGCTCTCCCGTGCAGGGCAACCAAAGAAGACTCAGCCAATCAGCTGGGACTCGATGGGAGGCAGAGAATAGATGGGGTTGGCGGGGCCAGTCAGAGGACAGTTCTCCGAACTACTCAAAATTTCCGCTACCGGTTCTCGAGAACCGGTCCGAAGCGGCTGAATCCCACCTCTGAAGACTGCTATCATGTCCCCCTGGTCCTTCTTTTCATTAGCAATTCCTGCAGCTCTTCTTGTGGATTAATGTGGACTTCAATTCCCAGAATTCCCCAGCCGGCTATGGGAGTTGAAGTCCACCCGTCTTAAAGTTCCCGAGGTCGAAAAACACAACCATAGAGAGTTAGTGATTTTATTCTGTAGCTGCCTCTCTTTCTCCTTTCAAATCTCTCCTTTTTTTTTTCCCCGGTGACTAGTGCCCCCTACTGGCGACTCTTGTAAACCATTTTAACTCATTCGCGAAAGTCCGCCTTTGTTGTTTAAATCAGCGTTGCCCATTCTCCACTTCGAATCTCTGGTTTTGGGAAGGAAGTAAAAAAAAACAACCAGCCCCATTATTGCTTGTCTTTGTGTTGTGTATAGATCAACATCTTGGTAGCAACAGGGTGGAGCTGTTGTGTTCCTGTTTGTGGGAATAAAAAAAACATGCAAGTGGGTTAAGTATTTTTATCTGCCGATGTCGTAATTTCTGGCAGCTCTTCTGAATCATTTTAATTTCTGGGAGGAAGGGGGACCAAAACACAACTCCTTTAAGTCATCTCTATAAATCCTCCCTCCCTCCCATCTTTCTTTCTTTCTTTCTTTCTTTCTTTCTTTCTTTCTTTCTTTCTTTCTTTCTTTCTTTCTTTCTCTCTCTCTTTCTTTCTTTCTTCCTTTCTTCCTTTCTCTTTCTTTCCTTCCTTCCTTCTCCCTCCCCCTTTCTTTCTCCCTACCCCCTTTCTTTCTCCCTCCATCCTTCCTTCCTTTCGTTCTTTCTTTCTCCCTCCCTCCTTTCATTCGTTCTTTCTCCTTTCTTTCTTTCTTTCTTTCTTTCTTTCTTTCTTTCTTTCTTTCTTTCT